GAGAGAGCACAAGCCTGGGGAAGGGCAGAGGGACAAGCAGACTCCTCGCTATGAGCATGGAGCCCAAAGTGGGGCCCAATCCATGATGAGAGCTGAAGTCAGATGCTTAACCAACTGAGTGACCCAGGCACCCCTACAGTAAAATTTTATTTTTAAGCATCCAACTCTTCTTATTTATTTATTTGAAAGAGAGAGAGAGTGAACGAGAGGGAGAACACGAGCAGGGGGAGTGGGAGAAGCAGACTCCCCTGCTGAGGCGGGACTCGATCTCAGTACCCTGGGATCATGACCCGAGCTGAAGGCAGTCCTCCAACCGAGCCACCCAGGTGCCCCCCCTTCAGTAAAATTTTTAAAAATTATAATTTTCAAGTGATGTATAAAACCTAAAAAATAATATCCACATCTCAAGAGAAAAAAAGGGGGAAGAGATTTTTTTAAATTATATAAAGTTAATGTTAATATATTCCCCTTCAGGCAATTATACATTATAATTGAACTCACACTAAAATAAGCTTAAATCTAATTTTACCTAATAAAGCTTAATTATAATGCACACAACAGAGACAAATCATACCAGTCTGCAGATCCATAAACCAGAGCACAAAATTAATTTCTATGAAAGTAAAAAGCCTAAACTACAATGTAGAAGGACAAAGTTTACTTTGGGCATTTAACTCTGCAGTTTGTAGTATTTAGGACTATGAAGCTTTTCTTTCTAATCTCATCTTTATTTTCTTTAATTCTAAATTAAAATTTTTTCATTGAGCAAACACAAAACTATTATTGTCTCTTTATATTTATCTAAAAATAGTTTACTTTTTCTTAATAAGCACAGAGCATTGTTTCCAAAACATCTATGAAATCTTCTATAATTACAAGACAGTTACGAAGACCCTGAACCAATTTCTACCATCAATTTTTGAAACTCTAGCAGTGATTCTCTACTGTTTTGTTATGTTCCACTTTTAAGCAGTAGAGTTTGAGGCAGCACATTTAAAGAAAGGCTGTACTTCAGTTCTCAGATATTTTTTGCTGCCTGGACCATGCACTCTTAACTATGCTATTAAAAAAAAAAAAGTTGTCATGTATACCAAAGAACACAAACTTTTTCTGGCTCCAACTTGCCTTTAGACTAAGACTCCCACTAGCAGGTTGCACCTAATTCTGTATCACATCCAAAACCGTCTCAGCTCAACGAGTAAGAATCTAATAGATAACACTGCCCAGTTTAAATCCTCAGTTACAGTAAAAGTTTTTACACAATGATGAAAATTTAGTAGTAAATTTGATGAAGGGTTCTTGATCTGGCTGTATGCCAGTACAAAGAAATACACCAGCAAAGAAGCATATAAAATTCTAGTTCTTATTCTAATCACTAAAATGATATTTAGAAAGGCTAGTGGTTTGACATATTGATCAGTAAAATCTTTATTTTTAAATATGCTACACCTCCGAATCAAATCAACATAATGGAAAAGGAGAAACTGGCTCAAGATTTCAAAATCTATTACAATATTGCGAAAATATACCAGACTTGGGCCCCCAATTTAAAGTATGGTTCTGGCAATCTTTGACTTTTATGACAATATTATATTGATGAAACTGACATCGATTTAATTTAGTCTCAAACTACCACTAATTTGCAGGCATTTCCAATAACTCAGTGATACAGTTTCACTTATAAGAAGACCCGAAATTAGTAGAATTCATGGTTCTCATCTCCTACTAGAATGTCTTAGCTGTCAAGAATTTTAAGAGAACAAAGGGTCAAGATAATAGGTACATTAGTACCTCTCTTGACCACTGCCACAATTCAAATGCTTAATTAAACCTACTATAAAAATTTGAGACAAATATAAATATAGGTCACTGCCTTCACAACACCCCTTTGAGGTACATAGGATAAAAAACTATTCTGTGAAACACTGTGATTAAACTATTGTTAACAAGTAAACTATTGTAAACAAGTTTTCCCAGTTTCTACTGTCCTAAGCAAGAGCAAAGATAAACTCATGTTACATTCTGTACTGAAGTGATTTTATTACTGGGAGGACCCAGTGTGTAGTGAAGTAACAGAACATTTCAATACGGAGGCATGAAGTCTAGAGTCAGCTAGAAGGGGTCAGGCTTAAGATCCAGTGATGATGGTACTGTATATATGGGGGGAGGAATATTGACACCACAAGTCTGTCACAAATCCATATCCCATACTCATATAACAAATTACGAACCAGTGACAGAAGCATCACGTAAACACTGAATTGATCTCCAAGCGAGTCTGGTTCATGCTCTCCAATTTTTGTTAACTTCTGGACTTCTCAAAGCTAAGAGGACAGTAAGACCTAAAGTAAGAATCACTGTCATGATTAATGGCCATGTTAGATTCACACTACTATTAACTTCATATCCTTCAGGCCTGGAGGTAAGAATTTTCAAAGAATATCTAATTAATATGGTCATTCTTATAAGACAAAATAACAATATTCATTAGAACATCTGTGATACAACAACTTCTCAAAAACAATGTTCAAACTTCAATTCTCAAAAAAGCCACGAAAATGTCTCTAAATCAGCTATGGCAAAGTTTTGAAAAAGCAGTGAAGATTTAGTGGTTAACAAAATAAGAATGTTTACAAGTAGTTGTGCAATGTGAATTAGAGTCTTTACAGAATGGAGAGTACTACTGAAATCAAAACTGATTTATCTAAGTATATCTGCACATTCTGCCATTGTGGTCATGATGGCTTCTTCTTGTCTTAGGGAAACTGCTCAAGCACAAAACTGATTTTCTTTACAACTAAGTGTGAGAACTGTCAAAGGGAAACAAAAATAACTATTAGGCATGCTAATATATTAATTGTACAACTCCATTTAATGGTTTACTTAATTTCATAGTAATATTAAGATGTAACCTTAATAGAGAGTTCTATTTCAGTTCAATTCCATAAATTTTTAAATGCTGAGACTTTTATTTAGAGCTAAGTATGAAGACATGGTCTTTAGAGAATCTCAGTCTGGTGTCGGTTAAGCAGAAACATAAACAACAGTAATACTACGTAACTTCCAACTAAAGATCATTTGTATTAAATTAGAGAAAAGGGAGTTAATCTTTGGACAACAGTTAAAGGAAAGAGAATTTATCTCTCCTTTGAAGAAATAATTACTAGTACACTGAAGATATGACACAGTCTATACACATAAATTAATATTTAAAAGATTTTGCAATCAGTACATTTTCACTGCATGAAGATTAAACAGTAGATACCCGTTTAGAGAAGAAACACTTGATTAAAAGTTTGTTTTGAAATGGCCAACGAATTTGCAAAATGTATAACCAAATAAAAAGTTGTAAAAGTAATCTTATGAAACATAGCTAAAGACTTCCTGAAGCCATGTTATAATTTAACAATTACAAAAGGAAACTAACTTATTTCTACTAAAGTGAATGTAAGTATTGCAATCATTTTTCTGGCACAATTATTGTTTTGGTACTATCTCTTCTATAAAAGGTATCTATGGTACCACCTATCCCAGTTCTGTTTACTGCCTACTACAAGCACCCTCTATTCTTATTTTTCTAGATCACTCTATTAAAAATATTATTCAGGGGCGCCTGGGTGGCTCAGTCGTTAAGCATCTGCCTTCGGCTCAGGTCATGATCCCAGGGTCCTGGGATCAAGCCCC